GAGCATTGCTTCCAGCTTTAACATAGGGTTAGGGTTAGGGGCTTAAGGTGCAATACATTTTTCCAACTCTAGATGGTGCCCTCTGAAAAAAGTGAACAGAAACAGATAAAAGTGATAAAAACGTCTTTTGTCAAAAACCAAGTACGCAAATACGTTCTTGGCAAGTACAGTGGAAAGTCCGTTCTATTGTGCATGGGTGGACGAAGACGGTGTTTGGAGCAGAACCGTATTCCGTTACGTCATGGCAATAAGTGCCATTTAATGCTACGGTACAAAAAATGACCAGAAAAAAAATTCTAGTTTATCCCATAGAATAAAAATTAATGCATTTTATTTGTTGGTATTTGTTCCACTTTTTAATGTTACTGTGTTTCTTTATCAATTTATCTCAGAAACTGAAAAAATAACAACATTACCTTCTCTTTAATGAAGAGAAAAATGTTTATTTAGAACCAAAACAGAGCTATTTAAGGCAATGATGGTTTTATTTTGGTAAGTATTTTGAGGTATCTTTAAGAATTTGGAAAAAACCCACCTCAAATACATAGTTAATTTTACAGGTTAAACACAATTATCTACAGTAAAAGAGAATTTTATATTTATTTTTTCCATCCATCCATCCATCCATCCATCCATTTTCGGCCTCTTATCTGGAGTCGTGAGGGCAGTAGCCTAAGCTGAGAGGCCCAGACTTCCCTCTCACCAACCACTTTGGCCAGCTTCTCTGGGGGAATCCCAAGGCATTCCCTGGCCAGCCATGAGCCATAGTCTCTCCAGCATGTCTTGGGTCTTTCTTTAGGTGTCCTCCCGGTTGGACGTGCCCGGAAAACCTCACCAGGGAGGCATCCAGCAGGCATCCTGACCAGATGCCCGAGCGATCTCAACTGGCTCCTCTCGATGTGGAGGAGCAGCGGATCTACTCCGAGCCCCTCCCAGATGACCGAGCTGCTCACCCTATCTCTAAGGGAGGGCCCAGCCACCCTGCGAAGAAAACTAATTTCAGCCGCTTGTATCCGCAATCTCGTTCTTTCTGTCACTACCCAAAGCTCGTGATTTCTTTTTTCCGTTGGGGTATAATGGTTTGTGACAAAATGCATTATGGGATGCCTCACTGGCCCAAGTCCGCAGATGGATGCATTAACGCATTCTCGATACAATGGGCAAGAACACATCTCTGAACTTTCCACCTACTTGAAACGATACGTACTTAGGATTGGAACGGTACTTGGGCCAGTGTTCACGTTTCACGAGTACATAAGTTCAGACAAGTATACATATGGAGGAAAGGCCCAGAAGATGGAAAATATTACATGTCATGTTATCGGGCTAACTTCACTCAAGGGGAAGTCATTTACTGAAAGAAAACGCAGGAAGTCGAATGGCTGAATGACAAACTCAGATCCTCCTAGAGGAGCTGCAGTGTGTGTGTGTGTGTGGGTGTGGTGGCCTGCTGTGACCAGATTACATGTTCACTGTTCCTCAGTGGGAGGGGAAGTGAGATCGATAGGACAGAGTGGTAAATGGCCCTAGTGGGGAGTCGTACGGCTGGTTGGGCTATCACCCGGCGGGGCGATGCCGCACCATCGGGTGTGGAATCCAGCGTTAACCGGTTTGTTTTGCTGCAGAAACTCAAAAACGGGCTAACAGATCACTGGAGGCAAGAATAGTTTATCATTTAAAGCTTTAGCAGCAACAACAAAGAGACACGGAGAATTCTGCCTCTTTGGGTAACTCGAGCTTAAATAATACATGTTTTGGTTAAATACCCACTTTTCAGGTTGATGTTTAGTGTTACCAACATTCTACTTCATGCAGTTGCATAAAAGGACACTCATTTATTTCCATAAGTGAGAATTATTAACTGTATGAACAAAATCACACCCACAGACCAATAGTTATGTTTTACTCACATTTAATTACACTCCATTAAAATCTAACTACGATGGGTTCATGGTAACGGTGGTGAAGTGACCCTTCCTGATAGCTATAAAGAATTAAATATAATAGCTCTCATTCTTATTCTGTCAGCATTTCATAAAAATAAATAAATAAAAAAGGCGAATAGCACAATAAATGTGCTTCTCAGGCCACACAAAGCCTAAATCAAGCCTTTTATAAATGTTTCTCTGAACAGCTAAACAGAAACATTTATTAAAAACCTCAACTCTGAAGTCATTTACATAACTGTTCATTTGTTTTATTCTAATAACATTAGAAATGAATTAAAGCCTTCATACGAGAGGAAAACTCAAAGTTCCTCCTTTAATGAAAACATAAAAAACAGGTTTCTATGTAGTCTGAATATCAGGCTTTGTTTCAACGTTTCTACAAAAGAGCTGATTTATCATCATCCAGGGGAGAAAACACTTTTTAAATGAACACACACCGTTGTAAAAGCTGGTGAAGGTGTGCTTGTTGCATACAGCTGTGTAATTTATGAAATACTCTAGAATCCACACTAGCACCTCAACAAAAAACAACCATTTTAATTATTTCAAGTAGAGATCATGTTGATGAGGAGCTGGTGGTAAACAGACTGATGAGCTGCTAAATGGGGCAGCAGTAGATCAGGAGGTGGAGCGGGTTTTCCAGGAATCGGAAGGTTGTAGGTTCAATCCCAGCAACACACTTAACCCCCCCTGCCTAGTGGTGGTCAGAGACGGCGGTGGCGCCCGTGCTCGGCAGTCTTGCCTCTCAGACCGTCCCAGGGCAGCTGTGGTTACATTGTAGTTTATCACCATCAGTGTGTGAATGTGTGGCCATTTTACAAAACAATGTTATCAATTTGCCGCAACGCCATGCCGGCATCAGGGATCCTTATGTCATTCATAAGTGGTCAGACCGTGGCGGTAATGTGGCGCAATCGTGACATTTTTTACTAAAGATTAGGCGATGGCGGCATAAAGGAGGTATGGGGTGGTCTTTTTGATGCCGCAGACTTCATAACCTGTTGTTTTTTACGATTGAAGCTGCGATCGTTACGTTTTTTTAATAAGCCGCTTCTAAAGGTGCCCCCATCAGCCCCTGTGCGGTTTCTGTTGATCTGAGCTTCAGCTCTAACGGAGAGAAGCTGATGGAGCACTGCAGTTTGCTGTCTCAGCTGACGTTGTTCAAAAAGCAAAACTTGCGGCCCGCGTTTACTTTCATTTTCAACATATTGGCCGGTTAGACATAACTCCCCACGTCATCATGACACGTCCCTCTGTTGCGCCATGGTGCAATAGCCGTTTATAAGACAGACAATTACCGCAATATTACTACCAAGCGAGGCAGAACGAATACCGCAAAATTCTCGCAACGCCATTCCAGCACAGCACGTTTATAAGACTCACCGTTACGGTAATATTACGCCGATTTGCCGGCATGGTGTGTCTTGTGAAAAAGGGCTCACGTGTGCATGGATGATACCCTGTAGTGTAAAGTGCTTTGGAGTCCTCTGATTCTGAAAGGTGCTATACAACTGTGGGCCATTTATCAGGAGTAGGTTGGCCTTTAGTGACACAGCAAGCTAACAGAAAGACGGCCAACAACCATACTTCCTCCAATCCAGGAGGCCTACTGCCCTAACAAATATAGTAAGTGCCCCTTACTGTAAAACAACCAAGAGCGTCATCTTCACCTGTCATCTAGAATCTTCTTGGGCTGATCCGTAACTGGCAACAGCCACAAAACTCATGGAGTGGGAGTGAGAAAGTATAGACTAGAATCTAGACCGTCATTTGCCGAAGCAAAATGATTTCACTCTGCATGTCGATCTAGCAATGCTCCTTTGAAACCTCGCGGCCAGTATTGTGACTGGCATGCTTTATAAAAATGTTTTATGTAGTTCTTCCTCAATGTAATGGTGGGCTGCCTCACTGACTGACATCCATAGTGGTCCAATTACAGCGCTCTATTGTTTTGGTGGACCAATCACAGCACTTTGTTACTGAAAAAACAAAGATGGCGATGGCTAGTTTGAAACGGCTTTTCCATCAACTTTGGACTATTGTGACTTGGGCTTCTCTTTGACTCGAGAGCATATAGAACTTTACTTTAAAAAATATGTCTTTGCATCTTTTTTTGAGGGAGTGTGGCGGTCTGCCTCACTGACCGACATCTGTAGCGGTGAGTACATCACATTGTTTGTTATCCGGTAGCATGCAAAGACATTTTGGAAGACCACAGTAGATCCCGCCCATGACTTAGATCTGTCAATGGACCATGGCCACATTATACATTCTCATATACAGGATGGGCTGCCAGGCTAGAGAACATAACATTTTGTTGGGCAGCAGTAACCAAATTTGACTACAGGATGGCGTTCTTACTTCATTCGTGGACGCTGCACTGTTGACTTTCTTCTGTCTGAGCTGGTAACCCTGGACTTAAGTCTGATGAGGATTCCCATGGATCTCTTGTGGGAGCTTGCACAACTCTTTCAAAAATGTGATTACGTGATGTTCTTTGAATAACGCTTCTGTGCCGTATTCAGCACATTTCCTCATAATTTTATCCAAATATTTACCAACAACAGCAGTCCAGGGAGACTGCTAACATATATTTCAGCTGTATGTCACGACCAAGTTCCCATGACAATTGTACCACATACACGCAAAATTGAATTTTTGCCGTCATTGTCCTACTTGGACTGTGTTAGCAGGAAGTCACACCAACCCTACGCTGAAGGCCTGATGGGACTCTAGCCTAGACTTGAAGCCAGTTCTGTTCGGAAAGTCTTCAAATTAAAAAATGTTCTCTACTTTACACCTTGGACATGAAATAATCTCATAATGAGGCTCAATACTTGGAGAGTCCAAAACTTTTCCAAAGTCCTCCCCAACTAAGGAATGTGACGTGTAGGCTTTAACTGTTTTTACGTATCTTAAACAATTTTAGCTTGTATGCGTTTCGTTGTAAGCCATCTTTATGAGGTCTGTGATGAATAAAAGAGATTTAAACTCACGGCAGAAGGGCTAAAACAGGAGCAGCGTATGCTCAGTGAATGGTGGAGCACTTACTGTTGGTTGCATAACATATTGTTGATGAGGCATCCATGACGTACTCTGGACCTGAACAGAAACAGATAAAAGTGTTACGATGGTGACAATGTAAACTTCTACAAGTCCTGGATCTAAATTCTGTCCAACATAAATTAAAACAGGCTGTTCAAATATGTTCGAGCACTCTTCAGTCTGGAGGTTTCTAAGTCATTGTGCTGGTTTTTTACGGCACCAAAATGGCTCAACTTTACACGGATCACGTTATGCCAATTACTAAAAGAATTTGAAAGTCTGGAGGCTGCAAATCTCCCTCCTGCTTCCTTATTACTGCCAAAAATATGACTTGTGCACAGAGCCATGAGCTAGTTTCCCTCTCTTGGAGTTTAATATCGCTACACGACCCAGCGCTGCTGCTGCTGCTGGAAAGTTGAAAGGTTTTCTGAGGACAGAGCCAGATCATTTTGAGGACAAAAAAAAAATTTAAGAGGAAATCTTGGGCAGACGTAATTTAAAAACCTGGACAAGGAAGTTAAAGAGCTGAAACAGAGACGAGAAGACAAAGGGATGGATGAACAAACAGAACTTTCTGATATGCTGGAGAGAGGAATTAGACAGCTTGTCACAGACAAACACCGACTGGCCACAGATCCTGGTAAAACAATTAGATTAAACAAAAACAAACACGGAATAATCTGCTATAAGAGCAATCAATCCTCTGAGCCAACACAAGCGCGTGATTTGGATCCACACCTAAACAAGGCTGCTATTCTACAACATGCAGCCAAGTCCGCTTGTTTATGCACGACAATATTTGTTCTCTGCAGCTTAACGGGACAGCCGATTGACACATAGAAAGCTTATCTTTAATCACTTATAATAAGCGTTCTTTTTCTTCTGACTAAGAAACCGCATCACCATCAAGCCATTTATCTCTTCTGCCAAGGTGGAACTAAAGTGGCGCGTTTTCAGCGCCATTTGTTTGTCTGTTAGCAGGATTACACAAAAACTACAAGCCCCAGTTTTATAAAACAAGTACTAATCAAGTTTTGGAAGAGATCTGGATCATTGTACTTAAAGCTTTGTAAAGAAGGAACACTGATTCGTTAGTTTAGGGGATAAAAAGCCTTTCTTAGCGTCTTAGATCAAAGTAGACAAGAAAATCGTGATGCTTGTTAATTAAATTGTAATCTTACAAACTGAGGGATGTTCAGCGAATAAAAATGAGACTTCTTTATTGAAATTAATCCATTAGGTCACGTGGAAGACTGCTGAACTAGTATGATGCTCCTGTAGACGTGTTTTAGCTAAATCAGCATTTCGTGTTGCCCTATTTTCTCAGGTCCTCACAGGTTTCAGATTCTCCTCCTTCCTCATGTTTTCTGTGCATGGAAACATGAGAATCGTGTTTTTCTGCCATTTAAAAACATGCTGAGAAAAGTTGGATGAAGCCTTTGGTTTGGTCTAGTTTCATTATTCAAAAGATAATGTAACCATTGGGACATCCTCCATCTCTAAACCTTCTAATGTTGTCAAGATGAATTCTATTGAAAAAACATAAATGAAGACTTCAGGTATTCCAAACTCACAATTTAAATACAAACATAACCCCCCCCCCCCCCCCCCCCCCCCCCCCCCCCCAAAAAAAAAAGAATTATTCCAACTAACATCTTATTTTCAGAAGTTTTGGTTGTTTAGGTCAAATCCAGAAAAATAATTCAATCTCATCAAGTGTTGCAAAATCTCACGTAACGTGATAAAGACGCCTCTCAGATGCTAACTTAGCTTAAAATATCTGAGGCCCTTTCTACAAGACACACCGTTCAGCGAAGAATTATCGCAACGGTGTGTCTTATAAACACTTCATGTCAGCATGGCGTTGCGCAAATTTTGCGGCATTTGTTCCGCCTCGCTTGGTAGTAGCATTGCGGTAATTGTCTTATAAATGGTGATTGTGACTTGGCGCAAGATGGAGGTGTTATGATCGTGTGGGGAGTTACGCCCGGCGACAATATTGAAAATGAAAGTAAAAACGGGCCATAAGTTTTACTTTGTGAACAGAATCAGCTGAGATGATAATCTGGAGCAATGCAGAGCTCCTGAAGTTTTCTCCGTTAGAGCTGGAGGACAGACTGAACGGGGACTGTTGAGGACAGACACCTTTAGGGGCGGCTTGTCAAAAAAATTGAACGATCGAGGCTTCAATTGCAATAAAAAGTAAGTGATGTCCAAGATAAACGTAAGTCAGCGGCAGTGCAGGGGCCGCGGTCCGACCACTTATAAAAGACCTAGGGTTCCCTGATGACGCTTCAGTGTTGTGGAAAATTGACGGCATTGAGTTCCGAAACTGTAAAATTGACCGAGTTGTATAAATGTAGGGGTTTTCTGAAGGTTGCTGGTTTAGGAGGCCATATTGAACTGCATTTCCACCATCGGTGGCCTGGTTGTTTGCCTCTGTTGGAGCTTTTGGATTTTAAAACTGATTTCCTGTTTTCTTTTTTGTTCCCCTTTGCTTTACCAGCAACTCTTTTAATTTGACAAACACTGGTTTGGCAATGTCATTTCCCAATGAATTACAACCAATCAGCAAGTGTTAACCCCAAGTTCCACCCTGCCACTCTACTGGGCTTTTTCTGAGCACAACTCCTGGATCAGATACTCTTTTGATACCTGAAATGACCCAAAAAATCAGTCCTTTCGGGCCAGCCCAGTGAGCTGAAGACTCGTGACATGAAGGTCTGGTAAAATCAATTGGATGGTGGAAACGGGCCTTTGGATTGGGCTGACTTAATGATATTTTCATTAAAATCCATCAAATTATTTCAACTCTATTTCTTTAACCCTCCCACTGTCCTATTGGGTGACCCCGCCAGGAAAGTTGACCACTGAGCAGAGTTTGTGGTTTATCACTTGAGGTCCACGTGGCAGGGGTGAGAAGTGAGCGCCACCTCACCCCTGCAAACTGCAAACACACATAGACAGGTGTACAACCATTACGTTCCCTTTTCGTCATTCTGAAGCAGGTAAAATCAAACCAACAATCTCCAGGATGACGAGGCAATCCTAAACGAAAACAGGAAATAGCTTCAGATGAATAAAGCACAATATCACAGCTGCTCGTGTTGAGTGAAAAACAAAATGTGCTCAACCCAAGACGCTCCCTACCTCTGGCTGAACTTCACTGCTTGTATTACAATTTAAAAAACAGTCAATAAGCTAAAAAGCTGGTCAGTCGCTTGCTCGGCCGCACGGTCCGCCAGTTGGCGCTCCATCCAGCCATTCACACATGAGGCCAAACAGCCTGCCAGTTAGCCAGCCAGCCAATGAGGAGGTCTGCAGAGCCAGTGATGTAAAGCAGGCCACGGCTGGCTGGCGACTCCACAGCTGAAATCTTGGTGATCTGGTCTGGTCTGGCTGCCGTCAGGTGTGTCATCAAACCAGCTTTTCCAGGAAAAGAAGCCGGTCACCGTTCATGCTGGCAGAAGGCAGTTTAATAGAAACACCGGAGGAATGCTGCAGGTCCTACATGGGCCATTTACTGATTTGATGAAAGCCGTTCAAAAAATATCACCTCAAACAAAAACATAAAAAGCCATGATGTCTGTTCACCCATTGATTTTCTTTGTAAAAAGCTATAATTTCATCATAAAAGGACGTTATTTCCTTTTGTCCAGCGTGCTGTATATAACTACGAGTCTTGTCTTTTCTCTTTTCTTCTCTCGGTGTCTCTTTGTACTTCTGAAGAAGATGAAGGACTCACCTTCCTGCCGTGACTGGCTGAAGGGCAATAACAAGAGGAGCGGCAGAGGAGCTGCCCGATATTGAAACTGTGAGGATTAATATTCCTCTAAAGCCTGGCCATTGTTTTTGATAAATCAATTTGGGAAGCCTTCGGAGAGCGGATTAGAGACGTGCTCTGGCCCACTTCCCCCCTCTCCTCTTCCTTCCCAGACACTGCAGGTACTGGACCGGAGTTTTAATCAGGCGCGCCTCAAAGATGGAAACGGCAACCTTCAGCATCCTCCACCCACCCACCCACCCACCTGAGCTACCTCCGCCGTCGCCACTGCCACCTGAGCGATCCTTCCCTCTTTCTCTCCACCTGTCTTTAAAAATGACCCACCTTTCCTTCATCTCCTTCCTCCTGCTCACCCTCCTCCTCTCTGCGTCTCTGCATACCGAACAGAAGCGATGTTAAGCGATGGTGTCGGAACTGGAGGGCACAGCGGCGGCGCCACTTGATGTTAGATTTGGCGAGGGGTGTTGTGTGAAATGCGCGGTGACGGAAAGCGGTTGACGCTCCTGACATATCACAGAGCCAATTTTTACACGGCTGTTCTGTTCTGTTGCGTTACTCCACAGATCAGAGGCGTGAAGAATGTGGAAAATGAACCCTGGAAGAGGAAAACGGCGAGTTGAAGGTGGAGAAAATAAAATAATAGATGAAAAAGGTCAGGGCACTGAAAAGAGAGGAGACTGTTGATGAGTGAGCTGATCCTTTCTTCTCAGTCTGCCTCTGGATAATTTTCATTTTTATGACGCTCGTTTTCTTACGCCTGTTGTGTTTATCTCCGGGAACAGCTGGAGTTACGAGGAAACAACGAGAAAACAGAAGAGGACCGCATGCTGGTTTTTCCTGCCCATTTCTGATCCAACACCCCCCCGACACGACGACAACTTCACTACAATCCACATATGAAGCGGAGCTGTATGGCTCACCTGATATGTGGAAACGGGGGAAGCAGCGATGAAGGGCGTGATGGAGGTCTGTGCGATCATGCGATTGGCGGCGATGCTGTAAGGCGAGGAGTAAAACCTGAGGAGGAAGAAAGGGTTTAGAACTTGTACAAAGAGATGATAAGGAACACACAAACAACCACAATAAGCATTTTCACAGGCGTTTTACATTAATATTTTCCCCTAAGGTTCACAAATTAGGTTAAGCTAGAATTATCTGAGGTTACAGGGGAAAGGCTCGGTCCTATATACTCGCCATTATGTGTCCTTACAAAATCGTCCCTTTCAGGACTTTGCCGAGACGTCAGCATGTTGCGATTGATCAGCAACAAAAGGCATCTACGGACATCAATAACATTAAAGAGCAAGTCACCCCCTACCAGAGTCTTACTCCACTTTCACCTACTGTTTGAAAAGTACAAGTGCTGTTGCCTGACAGCCTGAGAGGGCGGAGCCTCAAACAAATACACAAACATAGGCTCAAAATGACATTGTGACATCATAATGTACCACATAATGTCATAGTGTACGTCTTAGGCCCTGTCCACGCGTAGCCAGGGATCTGCCAAAACGTAGATATTTTTCTACGTTTTGGCCTGTCATCCACACGAAAACGGAGTTTTTCCACACGAAAACGGATCTTTTTAAAAACTCCGGCCAAAGTGAAGATCTGCGTTTTCTCCGTTTTGGGTGTCTGCGTGTGGACGGACAAAACCGGAGTTTTAAGGTCCGCAACGTCACTTCCTGTGACAAAAAAAAAATGCTGACATCACGTGTTTACACTAGCCGACATCATGGATGCCCTCAGAGCTGCGCTCGCTTTATCAATTTTCCAAGCGCTTTTTGCTTGTTTGTTGTTGCAAGCGGGATTACTGCTCCTTGCGGAAAACCACAGACGAAGGACGAGGTTAAGAACAGGGGAAGTACTGCCGCCTACAGGTCTGGCATGTCCTTAACAACATATTTATCCGGGTACGTGTGGACAGAGTTTATTTTTTTAAACGAGGTGGTGTGGATGCAAGTTTTTGGAGGGGCGGACATTCGTTTTTAAAAAAAAACCCGGCTACGTGTGGACTAGGCCTTAGCCAATAACGATGGCAGATTTAAATAAAAACGCAGCGCAGAGTTTTTACCTGAAGATGGGACAACACTGACAGTTTTAGGCAGAATATTTAAATTTTAACTAAGATCCACTAAAGTGCTACATTACTGACAACATGGGTCTACAGCACGAATAAGCACTCATGCATATAGTTTATCAGCAAAATAAAGTTGATTTGGGGGTGACTTGCTCTTGAAAAAGGTTTTATCGTATCAACGTATGTAGTAATTTAACCCATTCAGTGGACAGAGAGAGCGATTGTGTTATGCAAAAAGTGGCGTTCATGATCTAAAGAAACACAGTTTTTAACGGCGCTCTGTAGGAGACCACAAAGCGGCATGAATTATGGTGTGGGGGAGGGCATTTTTTGGCTTTGGGAGTTTTGAAAAAAATTATTTTTTCCCCCGTCTTACCAGCAACTCAGTAAATGTTACTGTTTGTTTGGCGACATCTGCCCACATCAGTTCGTACCGAGTTACAACCAACAATCAGCATGAGCGAAGTCCCGCCCACTCACTCTAACGGGATGTTTCTGAATACATGTCCCAAGGCAGATGCTCGGGTGCTGAAATGGCCTATAAAGTGGTCCTGTTGGACCGGCCCAATGAAGGTCCAATAAAATGACGCGATAGTGGAAACGGGCCTATCCATTATCTTCATACATCCTTAAATAAACATCATTTAAATGACACTGAACTTGGTCCTGCTTGTGTTTTTTTACACAGATCTGTTTATTTAGGCTAAACTTCCTTCTGCTTTTTGACTCATTTATTCTCAAGAGTGGAACCAAAAGTCAAGCAGGAAGTCCTAATGGTAAAACATTGATGTCAGAGTCGGCTTTTGGACTGTTAAAAAAAATATCTGCGGGATTAAAGTTTGGCAGATTTGTAGCAAGCGAGTTCTTTACATGGCAGGCTGTATAAAGTGAGGGATGCTTGTTGGCTGGGACTGACTTGCAGTCGCTGGGCGGATAAGTGGTTTAGGAAGTGGGATTCAGGAGTTTCCTGTGAATGACCGAAGCCAGAGGGAGATAGAGGGGGAAGGATGTAGGGGGGAGGAGGGGGTGTTAAAACTCTTCTTCCTGCCTCAGACGATTGGGGGAAATAAAGCACATCGATGGGTCATTTATTTCCAAAGCACCATTAAGTCACGACACGAAGACACACAGAACACACACACACACGCACGCACGCATACGCACACACACACACACACAGCTTCCTCTCAACATTCCTCCTCCAGTCTTCCCAGTGAAAACCGAGAGTTCGTATAGATTTCTTTAATCAAACAGTAACAAAGTGCAGACACTACATTAATCTTTAGGTATGACAGCATCATTGACCCGGTTTCTAAGAACCAAAGGAGGTGAGTTTATTAGACGGAGCCAAGGACAGAGAGAGAAACTCTTACCCATTCTGCATTGCAGCAGGATCATATGTTAGTGCCATGCCAGTCTGAAAGAGAAGAAATGTCAAATAAATCTCAGATTCACGTGGAATTAAACACAAATGTAATGATCTGACAGCTGAGGAAGGTCTTTCACCGTAAAAACATCTGGTTTTTTCTTCTCCATTGACGTCTTGTTGTTTTTCTTCAGTTTATTTGGGTTGAGATTAAATGTGAACTTTAAACCGATAAGCGGAGAGCCCCAGGAGAGCTGCTTTCCAGACATTGAGCTCGGCGTTGGATTAAAACGGGAAGAGGTGTACGTTTGTGAGAGGATAGGCTCTAATATCACAAAGATAATTGGCTGTACATTTATTAAAACTGAAGAATAACACGGTTTGGCTCCGGCTTCTTTGTTTTCTTTCAGGTTTATCAAATCAAACTTCAAATCGACTTGATTCAAAGTGGAAAAGCTGACAAGTGGCAAAGCTGATGTGGGTCAATAGGACAAAGCGAATTAGTATAGAAGGTGCTGTTTTTTGTTTCAGACACACAGATTGTCCTCCAGTGATAGGGTGTGTGTGTGTGTGTGTGTGTGTGTGTGTGTGTGTGTGTGTGTGTGTGTGAGGGCCTCCTAGAGTCCACGAGGAACGTGTGCTGCAATCCATCTGCATTCCTGAAGGTTCCCTCCCGGAGGAGAGCTAATCCAATTTTTTAAGAGGAGGCTGCTGAGGATGGCAGATTTCATCAGAACACACACACACACACACACACACACACACGCACACGCACACGCGCGCGCGCACACACACACACACACACACACACACACACACACACACACACACAGGCAGGTACACACTTTCCCCACCCTTCCTTTCCTTCTTCAGCGTCCCTTTTCTCTCCTCATCTCTTAATCTATCCCCTCCTCCCTTCCTCCATCTCTTTTTGCCCTTGCTCCTTCCGAGGGCTACCGGCATGCAGTTAAGGGAAAAGTGACTCTGAGGAGCAGGAGGTTCAGCGGGGCGGGTCGAGCCCTCTGAGAACACAACAACTGGCGACTCTACAGTAGAAGGAGGCAGGTGTGTGTGGAGTCAGGGCTTTCTTTTTACTTAAACACGTACTCAACTTAAAAACTTTTTTTGGTGTTGCTCTAAAAGCAGATTAAAGACGGTTCTTTTATTTTCTACTTTAGCTGAAAAGCTTCTTTTATTGCGTTTGAGCTTCCTGTGGATCTGCGTGTGCAAGTCTTAGTGAATGATTCCTCTTTGCTTAGATGAGTTTGAGCCTCACTTCCAGCCTTCAGCATGAGTGTGTGTGGGTGTGTATGTGTGTGAGTGTGTGTGTGTGTGTGTGTGTGTGTGGGTGTGGGTGTGTGTGTGTGTGTGTGTGTGTGTGTGTGTGTGTGTGTGTATGTGTGTGTGTGGGTGTGTATGTGTGTGAGTGTGTGTGTGTGTGGGTGGGTGGGTGTGTATGTGTGTGAGTGTGTGTGTGTGTGTGGGTGGGTGGGTGTGTATGTGTGTGAGTGTGTGTGTGTGTGTGGGTGGGTGGGTGTGTATGTGTGTGTGTGTGTGTGTGAGCAGCAGCAGACTCTGATATTGGCACATGGACCCTAAACCACAACAGTTTTACTACTTGAGGATATAATCTAGCACAGATTCTAAAACTTTGACTTTTCAGGGAAAATGTCTCAAAGTTGCAGCCGGTAAATCTAGAGAAAAGCTAGCTTTTAAACACAAACGTGGTCATGGAAAACACACCCCTCCAGTTGCATACCGTCGCTGGGCCATGTCCACATCGCCAGAGGAAACGAGAGAGCCCCAAACACCAAACACATTTTGTTGTCTGTGGTTTCAAATGAGCCAGGTAAATGTAGAAGTATGGCGGTTCGGTGAGACAGACAACCGGATGGTCCAATATTTGGTTTTGGACAGAGCCGTCTTATTGGCTGATGCAAAAAAAAGCACCTCCTAATTTTTTTTTATCTCCACAAAATGTTTATAGCCCGACTGTGTTAGAAGGTTGTTGAAGGTCATCTTCCACGTGAAATTCATGCTGGAGCTCTTAAATTGTAACATGTCTAAACTTCATATTTTCTTGTAAATTTAAAACAATCTAAGTAACTTTATAGCTGAAACAGTTACAAGTCAGTGAGGTGCTCTCAAGATTTCTTAATTTGGATTTAAAAACACTCAGCGAAATGAACTCTGTCATTTTCCATTTTGTCTGCAACTCTTTCCAAGCCGATGGCGCTGAATAGAAGATACTTGAAAATAAAAAGGTGGTAGTCGAGGGCGGGGAACTTGGCGATCTGATCCTCGGCTACAGAAGCTGGCTCTTGGCACACGGAATGTCACCTCTCTGGTGGGGAAGGAGCCTGAGTGAGCTACCAACACTGGACGGTGTGCTGCTGACCTCTACTCGGGACGTTGTGGATCGGTGGGTAGAATACTTCGAAGACCTCCTCAATCCCACTGACACGTCTTCCAGTGAGGAAGCAGAGTCTGGGGACTTTGGGTTGGCCTCTCAAATCTCTGGTGCTGAGGTCACTGAGGTGGTTAAAAAGCTCCTCTGTGGCAAGGCTCCAGGGATGGATGAGATCTGGCCGGAGTTCCTTAAGGCTCTAGATGTTGTGGGGCTGTGTTGGCTGACGCGACTCTGCATTATCGAGTGGACATCGGGGGCAGTCCCACTGGACTGGCAAACCAGGGGTGGTGGTCCCCTTATTTAAAAAGAGGAACCGCAGGGTGTGTTCCAACTACAGGGTTCTGGAGAGGAGGGTCGGTCGGATTGTTGAACCTCAGATTCAGGAGGAGTAGTGTGGTCTTCATCCTGGCCGTGGAACACTGGACCAACTCTATACCCTTAGGGCGATCATGGAGGGTGCGTGGGAATTTGCCCAACCAGTCTACATGTGTTTTGTGGATTTGGAGAAGGCGTTTGACCGCGTCCCTCGGGGGGCCCTGTGGGGGGTACTCAGGGAGTATGGGGTACCAGGCCCTCTGATACGGGCTGTTAGGTCCCTGTATGACCGGTGTCAGAGCTTGGTCAGCATTGCCGGCAGGCGGGTCTTGTTTACGAGTGAGGGAAAACTGGAGCGTGAGATCGATAGGTGGATTGGTGCTGCATCTGCAGTGATGCGGGCGTTGTACCGGTCTGTCGTGGTGAAGAGAGAGCTGAGTCAGAAGGCGAAGCTCTCGATTCACCGGTCGATCTACGTTCCAACCCTCACCTATTGTCATGAGCTTTGGGTAGTGACCGAAAGAACGAGATCGCAGATACAAGCGGCCGAAATGAGTTTTCTCCGAAGAGTGGCTGGGCTCTCCCTTAGAGAAAGGGTGAGAAGCTCGGTCATCCGGGAGGGGCTCAGAGTAGACCCGCTGCTCCTCCAAATCAAGAGGAGCCAGTTGAGGTGGCTCGGGCATCTGGTCAGGATGCCTCCTGGACGCCTCCCTGCTGAGGTTTTCTGGGCACGTCCAACCAGGACACGGTGGAGGGACTATGTCTCTCACCTGGCCAGGGAACACCTTGGGATTCCCCCGGAGGAGCTGGCCCAAGTGGCTGGGGAGAGGGAAGTCTGGGCCTCTCGCCTTAGGCTACTGCCCCCGCGACCCGACTCCGGATAAGGGGGTTAAAATGGATGGATGAAAATAAAAGGCAATGTATTATTTAGTTTACATTATTAGTTAGATAGCTCTTGTTGCTCTGAATGAATAAAAACTACAAGAAAAACTAATTAACAATTTATTAATCAATAAATGGTTTTTATTCTGTAGAAGTATAATGTAGCTTCATTCATTCAGGACACAGGAAGAGAGGTTGTATGATGTAAAAAGAGGAACGGGTGAAAAGAAAACAGCAAAAAGTCAACAAATGAGGTGATCTCCTGGGGACCCGAGCCAAAGTAACTGATCGATTCGAGTGACTTTTAGCCAATCAAATTACACTTCTTTGATCACATGGCACCGGTGAGGCACCAACTCGATCGGATGACGATTACTTTGGCTTATGTCACCACGAGGCCACCTCATTTGCTGCTGAATTTTCACCGTAAAATTTGTATTTTGAGGAAAAAACAAAAATCAAATACATCATTTCAATGAATAAAACTCAATGTCAAATTGAATCTCTAAAAAAAGCCATGTTCTAGCAAGGCTATGTCTTCCATAATGAGGCGTTCAATGATCATTTCTGGCGTTGGGAGTTTAGAAACAAGGATTACAACGCATAAAAAAATCTGATAGTAGAAACGAGCTATGACTCAGTTCACATTTAAATTGGCTGAACTCAACTTTTTGCAACATTCTCCCCTTTTTGCAGCTGAAAATACAACTCATCACACCAAATTTGAGTTCTAATTTTCCTCCAGGAGAGTTTTAAAGTAGGATTATTAAAGAAGCAGGACTGTGTGGTGAGACTTGGTTGTTATTCGTATGGAAGATTCATTTGGCACGTTCCCATATCTCTGCACGCTAACACACTCTGGCACCATCCCTTCCTGTACCCCCCCCCCCCCCCCCCCCAAACAGATTTGCTTTCGCTTTCTCTTCTGCTCGGTGGTCACTCACACACACACACACACACACACACACACACACACACACACACACACACACACACACACACACACATACACACACACACACACGGACATCTGTCAGGCTTTCACACACAGTGGAAAGCCGGATGTTTTTTGTTTGGTTGTTTTTTTTTCCCCCAACTTCATGCATTCCCCAAGAGTAGGTGCTTGAGGAGTGTGACTTTGAGAAGTTTTTTTATTAAACGTGTTGGTGAACGAGAGTGAAGGAGTGAAAAAGAGTGGTGGGGATGAACCTGTGGAGGATTACATGAATGCATGTATGGTGGTTCCGAGGAGGAACCAGAGCTGGGAGGCCTGGGGATGGACTGTCCGATCTCGGGGGCAGAAGTTGCTGAGGTAGTCAAACAACTACACAGCGGCGGAGCCCCGGGGGCGGATGAGGTTCGTCCTGGGTATCTCAAGGCTATGGATGTTGTAGGGCTGTCATGGTTGACACGTCTCTACAACATTGCGTGGTCATCGGGGGCA